GACACAAAATTGGATCGGTTCGGACACAAACGGGATCGGTTTGGAGCCAAAAAATGGCTCAGTCCAGATTTGGTTTGGCCCCAAAAATGGCTCAGCCCAGGTCCCAAAATGGCTCAGTTTGGTCCCAAAATGGCTCAGTTTGGGTCCAAAAAAATGGCTCAGTTTGGGTCCCAAAATGGCTCAGTTTGGGTCCCAAAAATGGCTCAGTTTAGGTCCCAAAAATGGCTCAATTTGGGTCCCAAATGGCTCAGTTTGGGTCCCCAAATGGCTCAATTCAGGTCCCCAAATGGCTCAATTTGGGTCCCCAAAATGGCTCAGTTTGGCCCCAAAAATTCCCTCAATTCAGATCCCCAAAATGGCTCAGTCCAGATTTGGTTTGGCCCCAAAAATGGCTCAGTCCAGATCCCAAAATGGCTCAATTTGGTTCCAAAAATGGCTCAATTCAGGTCCCAAAAAGTCTCATTTTGTCCCCAAACCCGGCTCAGTTTGGGGCCTGGGCCGGGTCCCTGAGCCTGGGCGGCGCCCCCCAGGTAGCAGGGGACACCCAGGGCCACCCAGGGCCACCCAGGGACACCCAGGGACACCCGGGGACACCCAGGGACACCCAGGGACACCCAGGGACACCCAGAGACACCCAGGGACACCCAGGGACACCCGGGGACATGCGGGGACACCCAGGGACACCCAGAGACACCCAGGGACACCCAGGGACACCCGGGGACACCCGGGGACAGCAGGGCTGAGCTGGGGACAGGGGGGGGAAAAAAAAAAATTCAAATCGGAGGTTTGGACACAAAATTGGATCGGTTCGGACACAAACGGGATCGGTTTGGAGCCAAAAAATGGCTCAGTTTGGGTCCCAAAAATGGCTCAGTTTGGGTCCCCAAATGGCTCAGTTTGGGTCCCCAAATGGCTCAGTTTGGGTCCCCAAATGGCTCAATTCAGGTCCCAAAATGGCTCAGTTTGGGTCCCCAAATGGCTCAGTTTGGGTCCCAAAAATGGCTCAGTCCAGATCCCAAAAATGGCTCAGTTTGGGTCCCAAAAATGGCTCAATTCAGGTCCCAAAAAGTCTCATTTTGTCCCCAAACCCGGCTCAGTTTGGGGCCTGGGCCGGGTCCCTGAGCCCGGGCGGCGCCCCCCAGGTAGCAGGGGACACCCGGGGACACCCAGGGACACCCAGGGACACCCGGGGACACCCGGGGACACCCAGGGACACCCAGAGACACCCAGGGCCACCCAGGGACACCCAGAGACACCCAGGGACACCCAGGGACACCCAGAGACACCCAGGGACACCCAGGGACACCCAGAGACACCCAGGGACACCCAGGGACACCCAGAGACACCCAGGGACACCCGGGGACACCCAGGGACAGCAGGGCTGAGCTGGGGACAGGGCGGGGGAAAAAAAAAAAAATTCAAATCGGAGATTTGGACACAAAATTGGATCGGTTCGGACACAAACGGGATCGGTTTGGAGCCAAAAAATGGCTCAGTTTGGGTCCAAAAAAATGGCTCAGTTTGGGTTCCAAAAATGGCTCAGTTTGGGCCCCAAAATGGCTCAGTTTGGGTCCCCAAATGGCTCAGTTTGGGTCCCAAAATGGCTCAATTCAGGTCCCCAAAAATGGCTCAGTTTGGGTCCCCAAATGGCTCAGTTTGGGTCCCCAAAAATGGCTCAGTTTGGGTCCCAAAAATGGCTCAGTTTGGCCCCAAAAATTCCCTCAGTTCAGATCCAAAAAATGGCTCAGTCCAGATTTGGTTTGGCCCCAAAAATGGCTCATCCCAGTCCCTCCCAGTTCCCATTATCCCATTCCCAGTCCATCCCAGTTTAATCCCAGTCCCTCCCAGTCCATCCCAGTTCCTCCCAGTCCCTCCAGTCCCTCCCAGTCCATCCCAGTTCCTCCCAGTCCCTCCAGTCCCTCCCAGTCCATCCCAGTTCCTCCCAGTCCCTCCCAGTCCATCCCAGTCCATCCCAGTCCCTCCCAGTCCATCCCAGTTCCTCCCAGTCCCATCCGAGTTTAATCCCAGTCCATCCCAGTCCCTCCCAGTCCATCCCAGTTTAATCCCAGTCCCTCCCAGTCCCTC